GTTCAATCCCTGGTTCCACCAAAAAAAAAAAAAAAGGCTCAGATTTGTGTGCAAATTCCTCAGGTTTTTACATAAAGATGGGACAGTCAACAGCCTGAACCTGGGCTATCCGAGACCTTATGGAGCTAAGCTCCAGGATGATCTGAGGACTCTTCGCTCCCAACTCTAGTCCATGTATCTTAAGATACTAGTAACTTACAGTCCTGAGACAGGCCACTTCTCAGTGGTAACTTCAGCTGGACAGAAAGGCCTTAACAGTGATGGCGAACCTTCCAGAGCTGAGCGCCCAAACTGCAGCCCGAAGCCCACTAACTCACTGCCAAGTGCCAACACTGCAGTTAAACCTCAACACTGAGGTTTCAGTTTAGAAAAAACAATCCATACATTAACATCTGTTGTCTTACAAACATAGCAACAGAGCTTCAGTGGTACAAACAGCTTCTTATTGAAAGGTAAGTCTGTATCTGGCCCGCTTTTGTATAATTAACGTGACCCTTGATGTTGCACGCATGCTGATCGTTTGTCAAACCTTGGCGGGAGTGACTTGGCTCCCGCATCACAGCGAGGGCTCTCCTGTGCACAGCAGATTCGCCACGCTGGCCTTGGCCATCAGCTCTCTGGAAGGCTCATAAGCAGATTACCCTAATCTAGCTCTGCCTGTGAATATTCCACATGATGAATGGAATAAACCCTGCTTATTTCACATCAAAAGAATATTTGGAAAAGGGTAAGACTTCCTTGGAGAGATTTTATAAAACTTGTTTCTGAACGGAGGTGTATGGAAAAAATGAACACGTCATTTGGAGAGATACAGAGTTTGTTAAAAAAGCTAAAATAATGACACTTGAAAGTACTATAAAATTAATTTTATTGCAAATAAATAAGTGTACATTATACTAACTTGAAAATATTCATTAACATTAGTTAAAATACTGACAAACAGTAGTTATGTACAAATTGCACATCTGTTGATTGATAAGGTGAATAATCTACCAAACATTTCACAAAGCATTAAAAGTTGCTAACAAATGTTTTATTATAGCTAGGGCACAAATATTGGCCAACTAATTCCAACTTTGATGTTAGGCATGAAGTTGACTTTGGTTTTGGGCTAAGAGAACCTACACTGTGGAAGTCAGGTCTTGCTCAGGCATTCCTGTGACAGGAAAATGCCCGGGAAGCCTCAGGAGTTACACTGCTCCTGCTAGCGGCAGCGCCTCTGGGCTAACAGTCACGGGCCTCTCACCAGCGCACAGAGAGAGGTTCTGATGAGTAGACGGGGTACCCCAGGGGAGGCTCCGCGGCCTGCACTGTAAGGTTGCGTAAGAGCAGAGGATGCGCTTGGATGCTGTACCGCTCCTCGTCGTCATTGGTGGCATAAAGCAGCTCCCAGGAGAGATTGGCCCACTGCCCGCGCACAGCGTCAGCGTTTACCTTCCCAACCTGGATCAGGGCCTCCTGAAGGGTCAGCACTCTCCCAGTGTAGACTCCCTTTAAAATATAAAAGGGGGAGGGTAAGAGACAACGTTCTGGCCTTTACAATTATAAACGCAGAGAGGGCCGGCCTGATAACTCAGCGGACTAACGTGCCTGCTTAGGCAGAGCCCAGTGGCCGGGATTCGAACCCTGGAAGCTGTGCCGGCCCTGCCCCCAGGGAGCGCTGAGCTGGTGACTGAGACAGGGCATGGTGGCGCATGCCTGTAATCCCAGAATCACTGTGAGTCCAATCTACATAGTGAGACCCTGCAGACCCTGTACTAAAATACAAAAAAAAAAAAAAAAAAAAAGAAAGAAAAAAAAAACCCTCAGAAAAATCTCATCAGACGGGGAGAAACTTTCTCCCAAGTTCAAGAAGACATACAAAGCTGTTTTAAAATGTTTACATAAGAGCAGCTCATCTGTACAATCAGACATTGCCTTTGTTACGTTAGCATTTTGAGCAAGTATAAGAAAACTTTCCTGACACCTATTTCACTTAATCCCCAGGACAACAGCATCTCAGCTGCTTCCCTTTGTTTTCCTTCTCCAGGCTCAACAAAGCTTATGCCGTAGGTTCTAGGCCACAGAAGAGCATGTAATGGACTCCTTTTCAGAAATGGCTTGAGATTCAATTCACATTCTCCCCCATTTGCTCATTCAATGCATAAAGTTATGTTTTTAGTATATTCACATCAAGTGCCACAACCATGATGCTTCCCTGGAGAACATTTTCATGACTCCAGAAAGAAACCCTGGGGCTGGAGAGATAGCCTGGCAAGCACAGGGTCCTGAGTTCAATCCCAGGTACCACCAAAAAAAAAAAAAAAAAAAAAAAAAAAAAAAAAAAAAGAAAGAAACCTCACCCCTCTGACCAATACCCTCTTGTCTCCTCATTCTCCCTGCCCTACGCAACCAAATGCAATGTCTATCTGTACAGATTTGCCTGGTCTGGACATTTTACATGAATTACTCATGAAACATATATGTTTCTGTCTTTGTTCTCTTACAAATATGACACTTAGCACATTTTCAAGGTTCTTGTATATATATAGTAGCCTGGATCAGTACTACATCCCTTTTCCACAGCTGAATAATATTTCATTGCATGGATATACTACGGCTTGTTTCTACATTTACCAGCTGAGGTAGTCAAATTGCCTCCCTCTTTTAGCAGTTATGAGTATTGCTGCTATGAACACCTACATACATTTTTATGTTGATCTTTTCCTTTGTTACATGCCTAGAAGTACTACTGCTGTCATACAGTAATTTCATACTTAACTATTAGAAAATCTGCAAGAATCTTTCCACTTGCAAAAGCAGTGTGTGAGTTTCAATCTTCACCCTTGTCATGACTTGTTAAGACCTAATTTTAGCCACTTAGTGGCTATAATCTAAAGGGATCGATTACAGTTTCGGTGCGTTTCCCGGGTTATTCACAGTGTGGCACATCTGTTCATGTGTTCACCTGCCATCAGCATATTTTTAGGGAAATGTCTACACAGATCTTTTATCAATTTTTAAAGTGCATGGCGTCATTACTGTACAGCACAAGAATTCTTCACATATTCTATGAACAAACCTCTATCAGAAGCTGATATGTCTATTTTTTCCCTTCATAGTTTTTCTCACTTATTGATACTGTTCTTCGAAGCATAATTTTTTACTTGTGATGACGTACCTTTTTGTTTCTCACGCTTTGGGTGTCAATCTAAGAGTCTATTTTTAAGTTCAAGATCCTGTGTTGCTGTTTTCTCCTAAGATTTTTATGCTTTTAGCTCCAATCTAAAGGTTGTGATGTATTTTAAAGTTAGCATTTTTAATATGGCACAGAGTAAGGTCTGAAGTGGGGTGAACGCATCTTCCAAGGAGTCTTAACCAAGGCTATCTGTGAATGTGACCTTATTTGGAATGGATACTTTGCACACAGGATTAAGGATCTCAAAATGAGGTCGTCCTGGATTTAGCTGGGTTCACAGGTCAGAGCAGGTGTCCCTAGTAGAACTGAACAGGAGAACTGCCACAGGGAAGAGGCCACATGAAGACGGAGAGGAAGACTAGTTACACTGCCACACAGCAAGGAACACTAGGAGGAAGGGGCAAAGGAACCCACTGGAGTTATTGAACCTATTACCATTTAACATTATTAGTGATACAGCTGGCTTTCGGCATTTCCCCTTCGATCGTCTACACGGCATGGCTGTGTGCATGTAGATCTCCATTCCTATTTTCTTTTTTTTTTTTTTTTTTTT